CATGTTTTTTTTTTAAACAAATTTGAATAATAAAGCTTTTTTGAGAATTGTTTTATATTCAATCAAGTTTTTATAATTTTTGTAAGTTATTTCATTTTTATAAGTTTTGTTTTTTAGGAATTTGTCGTAGATTTTTTGCTTTTTTTTTGAGAATTTAATGAAAATTTTAGAAATCCAAGAAGTTAGGAATTTTAGAAATCCAAGGACTTTTTGTTTATAACAAGAGTTTTAACTGAAAACGCTTTTTCATAATATTTACAAAATTGACCTAAAAAAAATTCGTAGGCTCTTGATTGCAATATAAGATCCCAATCAATATTGTTTTTTAGTAAACTTTTGAATTTTTGAAAGGAGTTTTTATTGATCTCTCGTTTGTATATAGGAGGTTTAAGAGGGGTATTGTTTGGTGCTATGTTTTAAGTAGTTAAGAAGATTTGAAAGTGATCTGAAAGGAGTGTCTTAATTATACCTGTGAAAACAAGGTATTGTTGGTTATTATATTATCGACTAAGGTAGAAGAATTTTTAATTATTCTGGTTGACTTAATATTTGTTGGAATGAAACTGTGCTCAAGTAGAGCATCAATTAAATGTTTAACATTATTATTAGACGTATTCTTCAACAAATTAATGTTTGTATCACCAATTTGTAAGCATGCTTTTGTGTGTTATTAATTTTGTTTAAGAATGAGATAAGATGAGTTTTAAATGTTTGAAAATTCCCACCTGGTTGTCTATAAATAGTATTTATGATTATGTTTTTCGAGTTTTTATTACATAATTCTATGCATAATGACTCATAATCTGTTTCATTCACACTAAGATTTCTACGCAAAATAAAGTCGTTTGAATTGTGGATATAAGCACTTACGCCTCCACAAGCATGACTTCTACGCGGTTGATAAACAGGTGTATAGTTTTTTAATTGTATAATTAAAATTGTGGATTTTTTTCACATTTACATCAATCTGTAAAACATATAATGCGGAAATCATGTTTTATTTCATCAAGTAAAGATTTTAAATTTTCAAAGTTTTTGTTAAGACTTCGGATATTAATATTTAAAATTGAAAATGAGACTTTGTTTAGGTGAAAATATTTTGCGGTTTGGTAAATCGAGTAGAAATTACTTTCATATGTTATTTGATCAAAGTATATTGTATATGTATCTTTGTCACTGAGTCTTTAGTTTTCAGGAAAATAGTTTAATCGCAAATTGCTCTCCATTTAAAAGTTAATAATAATAAAAAACTAAATATAAAAAAAGAAATAAAGATACTTATTTAGTGTTCCGATTTAACTCCTTTACAATCAGTTTATCATATTGTCAGCCCGGAATACAAGTGTCGTATTCGACATTTTTGAAAAAAATGAATTATATATAAAAATGAAATATATTTTTGTAATTTTTGGAAACTTGTTTCAAAAAAAATTATCCGATAGCTCAATTTTTTTTTTCCAGTATAGTTCAGTAGATCATTTGCTGTAAATGAACTTTTTATACGAGTCTTTTGACATAAATTTGTTGTACTTAGCGTAGACCAATAGTAGCGTTCTATTTGCTTACGTGACTAGATTTAACTACGTATATTCTCTTGTTAACGTTTTTACACGCTTTTTGTAAATACAAAGTAATACATTCAATTTATTTTTTAATTTTGAATTATTTTTTTTTTATGAATTTAATTAAAATGTTCAGTAAATAAAAATTATTACTCGTAATCAAATGAACTAAATAGTATTTATCATTTTTTTGTAAAGATAAGTAACTAAAATGGAATATTTTATAACAAATATGGAGTATTTTAGGGCTTCTGATGCTGATATACCGATAACAATAGTATTGTAGCCTAACCACCAAATGGACGAAGACACTGCTGGATATGTAGCTGAAGAATCTACTAATTTCTCTTTTTTTTTTTTTTGTATCATTGCTCCTAACAATGAAAAGTAAATAAAAAATACTTGTGTACAAAGATTTCATTACAACACGTCTTGTGCTCAAATAGTTTTAATAATATACTTATTTTTACATTCTAAATAAATTCTTAAAGATATCAGTGAAGGAAGAATTTACTGTAATTTGAATAACATGGTAAATAAAGATGTAAGTGGACTACCAAGATCCCCAAAGAGAGGAAAAATGGTTTTTAAAAAAACTCCTCATCAAGTCTTAGATAATATTAGAGAACATATAAATAGTTTTCCAACAGTCGATTCACACTATTGCAGACAGAATACTAACAAAAAATATTTCTAATATAAAATGAGTCGTCATTGAGTACAATTAAAATGTACATATTGTTTACACAAGCTTAGCCAGAGTTTAATGAATAAGATGTTTATTATTGTAATAATGAATAAGATGTTTATTATTTAATGAATAAGATGTTTATTATTCAAATTTTAATAAGAGTTTAATTTGGCGTTTCATAAACCAAAGAAAAATTTTTTTGATTTATGTCCAAGAGTATAAAAACAAAGAAAACGATCAAAAAATATTGCAACATAAAGAGAGTAAGCTATTAAATAGACAAGAAAAAAAGTGACCTAGCTAAAGTTGCAAATGGAGATTACAAAACCACAGCAGTTATAACTTTTGATTTAGAAAATGTATTTCCCCTTCCAACTGCTAATATTTCTGCATTTTATTATAAAAGAAGTTTAAATTGCTATAACTTCACAGCCCGCTGTTCATTGAATATAAAAACTTATTGTGCACTTTGAAATGAATCTATGGCTGGTAAAAGTGCAGACGAACTTGCAAGTTGTCTGTATAAACTAATAAAGTTATTTGTTCAAAACTGTACTAATTTATCAATTAATCAAATTATTTTGTGGTCTGATTCTTGTGCTCCCTAGAATTAGAACTAAATTTTGTCTATGGCAATAAAAATTTTTCTAATCGAAAGCGGAATACCACTCATTAAACAGAAATATAGTGAACCTGGTTATAGTTCAGCACAAAATATTGACACTGCGCATAGTATGATTGAGAAAAATTAAGGTGTTATGAGATTTACAGTCCTCCTACCTTATTCAAGTTACTGTTATCTATTCAAAAAACTTCTGCAGTAAAATTGAAAGTCATACAAACTGTACAAAGATAACTTCAAAAACTTCAAACTTGCTTTCAAATCTTTATATTTTCATAAAGTGCCTTTTGCAAAAGTAAAACGAATGTGTCATAAAAAATATCTACCTTTTCATATTAAACTCAAAAAATCGTTCTTAGTTCTGTAAATTGAAAAAAGATTGGTAAAAGGTACCTCGTAGAGAAAGAATAAACAGAAAGTTAAAGTTCTGAACAAATTTCTACTATTAAAAAATTATTCTACACGTTTTTTGTTCTCAGATAAAAAAAAATTAATGATCTTGAGTGAATAGTAAAATATTTTGTTGGTGATGGTCTTTAACTTGATAATACTCTTAATGAGTTACAAAGTCTGAACAATTAAATATATTTGTAAAATGTTTTAATAAACATTGTGTATATTTATTTCTTTATTGTAAAAATAAAAGGTACACTAATGGAAATGGTTGTTTTTTATATTTAAGGTTTAACTTATTTATATCATTTTTCACAGACAGATTAAAAGATATGTGTGAAAAATAACTTATTTTATTTTTCAGTTATTTGAAAATAAATAATATTAATAAAATTGCTTATGTAAAAAAAAAGTTGTAAATATTTAGTTATTTATAAATTTAGTAAGTGAAGCCTTACATCATACTCAATTTATTAATAAGTATGTTTGTATAAGAAGCTTATTAACTTCTATATAAGAAGCTTGCAGATTAAAAACTGTATATTTCTAAATATAATGCCGACAAATTGGTTGTTGGGAATGGATTTAAGGAAAAAAAGTGCAAAGGACAGTGAAACTAAAATTATTCTAAAATTGTAAGTTCTTGTTAGTTACAATATTAGCAAATTTAACCTTAATTCACTTACTATCAAATTATTTGCATTTATGACAATAATATTCCGACAAAATGTTCTGATTTTGAAATACATTTGTCGTATTTGAAAAGCAGTGCTCTTAGTTACGGGGGAAGTTTTTTTTTTTTTTTTTTCTTTAACAACTTAAACAAAATCTTATACTGGTTTTAGTCAATTTTGTCAAATTTCAACATGAAATTAAATTAACATAAAGAGATTTTTTACTTTAAACTTTAATTGCAAATTTCTCAATTTAAACACCGTGTCGAATACGACACTTGTATTCTAGGCTGACGATATGCTAAAATTGCATATTTTCCGGAATTTCTTCATTTTCTTTATAAGATCACTTCGTATTTTATTTGTTTCTTCCGAAAAGTCCTCGTTTATAAAGATTCCTTTTCCTTTTAGCTTCTTTGCATTTTTCAAGATTAGTTCTTCATCTTTTTAATTTAACAGTTTAACTATAACAGTTCTTGGGGTATCCTTATTATTATAAACTTTTCCGATTCTGTGGGCTCTTTTTATTACTATATTTTTTAACTAAAGCTGTTCATTAGAATTTTTTTGAAGTTTTTGTTCAGTATTTTCCCAAGTTTCTAGTTCATTTTCTCTTAATCCGTATATTCTTAGGGGCTGTTCATATCGATAAAAAACATCCCGCCTAACCGGGGTACCCCGGTTAGGCGGGATGAATTTCAGCTGTGTTCATATGGAAAAAACATCTCGCTCTAGCGACACGCTTTTAAGATAATGTGACATTTGTTTATATATAATCATTCGCGCAAATTATTAAATTAAAAATGAAAGTTAAAAAAAAAATTGCTTCCATTGCTACAACTATAATAGCTCTCCAATCTTATTTAATGCACATTAGAAGTATAATAATATTACGTATTTTACAAAATGAGCATCAAATTAAACTTATCATTAACAATCTTTTGAGAAAAAAAAACTTTCGCCTTAAAAAGCTTAAGGACAAAATGTTAAGAAAAAATAGTATAAATCCCCGTAGCTGTTGGTACAAACTTAGACGGTCTGATAAGTGGTGGGAAAACATGATAACTAGTGGTTCTCCAGAAATTTGCTGGGTTAAAAATTTTAGATTGTCAAAAAGTGCATTTATAGATTTGGCCGAACAACTTAAACCATACATAGCCCCTAATCCGAAATCCCCTAATTATAGAGCTTTGAGCACAGAAAAAAAGCTTGCAATTACTCTATACTATCTTAAAGATACTGGTTCTTTATTAATGACAGCCAACTGTTTTGGGATTGCAGTAAATACCGTCTCTTTCATTATTACACAAGTGTGCGAAAACATTGTTTATCACCTAGGACCAATCTATATATCTCTACCAAAAACAGAAACCGAAATGAGACAAAAGGTAGCTGAGTTTGAATCCAAGTTTGGTATGATTCAAGCTTTTGGTTGTATAGACCTATTGTACACATGTGCCAATAGCCTGTCCTGTTGAAAACTCTTAGAATTATTTTTATATGTGATTATAAAGGAATGTTTATGGATGTAGAATGCGTTTGGCCTGGAAGTGTTCACGATAGCAAAGTATTTGCAAACTCATCCATAAACAGAAAATTACGCAATGGTTCCTTACCAGGAACATTTCAATCAGTATTACATGTATACGAAAAAATTAGAACATATATTATTGGTGATCCAGCCTACCCCTTGACTCCCTTTTGTATAAAAGAGTATCAAACTTGTAGAAATAACGAGCAAGTTTTAATAGCATGCTCCGATCGGCGCGAAACCCTATCGAATGTGCTTTTAGGAGATTAAAAGCTCGCTGGGCGATCCTTACCAGAAAAATAGATTTTAAATTGGAACTTGTACCAAAAATTGTTTATGCTACATTTGTTTTACATAATTTTTGCGAGAGACACAAAACATTAGTTGATTATGACAGTGTAAATAAGCAAGTTCAGCTAATTAAAGATAATGAAGAAACTTATATTAATCAACCAAACCCAGTTTATTCAAATAATACAGCAGAAGGAGAATTCACAAGAACATTGCTTACATCTTACATTTCAGAATGTTTGCCAAATTAATAATGCTTAAATCATAAAATCACTTATGATGGTAAAATTACAGAAAATTTCTGCATAATTGAAATATATAGTTTTGTTTATATATTTTTATTACTGCTTTGCTAATTTTTAATTATTGTATTCATCAAAATCTATATGATAAATAAACAAAAAGTAGTTTGAATAGTATTGTACTATACAAGTACGTAAAATACTATAAACCTTTACTAAACAACATTAATAAAACAAAGTTATGGATGTGTTTCATATTATAAAAACCTATCAACTATCTATTAACACTCTCACATATCAACAGGTGCTCTTTAGTCACAGAGCAAAAAAGTATAATTAAATGTGTGTATAAAACAGTTTTTCTACTTTTCTTTGTTTTCAGGAGCTGATTCAGAATCTTTAAAATTTTGAGAATATGTAGGTGCATTAAAATTGTAATAAGTTGGAATAGGTTGGTGTTGTGGCAAATAATGTGGTTGAATAGAATGCATTGCCATTGCTAACATTTCAATTGAACGACACATGCTGTTACCCACATTAACCATGGAATTACTTGCTCTAGTGATTTAGCAAAGCTTTCACTTGATAAACGTAAACTTTCAGCCAAATCAGTTTTAAATTTAGCATCTTCTTTTGCTTCAGCGAATAATAGTTTGTCACGTTGACTTGCAGAAAAATTTTTTTCCAAATGTTTTCGCTTGTTATCAATTAATTTAGGAACTACATTTGTCTTTCTTTTACAACTTGGTGTAGCAATAATCACGTTTCTTGTTTCAGAAAAGCATTCTGGTGGTTGCGTTGATAATTGGTCAAGAGATTCTTCATTAATAAAATCATATTCAGTTTCTTCATTATAACTGTTTATGTTTTCTTCTTCAACTTGGCTACTTTTTATACCAAATGACAAAGATTTTATATTTGCTGAAAAACCCCAAATTTCAATCAACTTATCATAGAATTTGTATACAATTTTTCCATTTCCACTCTTCGTTCCTTAAATGACAGCTTTTGAAAAGTTTTGTCGTACATCTTTGACTTTTTCAATAATTCTAGACCTTCCTTTTGTAATAAATTCAGTCTCTTTATGATAAAGTTTTTTATATTCTTTACCGTCCATATCACCTTTTGTGGTAAACTTGACAGGACCAAACATCCATGTTTCATCATTGTTACAATACAATTTTGCCATATCATCCCTTAAATGTTTATACATTGCCGGCTTGTCGCCATCAAAATCTATTCCGCGGTAACTCATTTGTGATTTATAATTATAAATAGCATCAATCAAATTTTCTACCATTTCAGTATTCCATTTGAAAACTTGTTTTTTTACTTGTTTTATTGCAACAGTCGCCATTTTTTATTTGATATATTTGAAACAAGAAGCACTTATAAAATTATTAACTATTTTTGTTTTTATACGTGGTTGAACGATTTAAACTTAAAAATAATTAAATGCTCATTGAATTTCTTAACAAAACTGTCCAGTCGAGCCGGGGCGATTTTCAACTTGTGTTCATATGAAGAATTTTCACCCCGCCTGACCGGGATCCCGGTAGTCCATAGGCGAGATCCCGCCTAGGCGGGGTGAGAAAATTTATATATGAACGCGATGTTAAAATTATAAGAGTTTATTAAGATAAGCGGGACCCCGGTTATTTTTCTGTCCCGGTTAGGCGGGATGATTTTATCCATATGAACAGCCCCTTATGTAATTTCTTCTATTTCTGTTTTCAAACTTTCTCATCTTCGCCTTTAGCTCGTAACAGAAGTTTTTTGCTTCGTCCAAATTTTTTTATACATGAATGGTTTTATTTGAAACGTTTGTGATTTCGCTAATAATTACTTTTTTTTATAGTTTGTTATAAAGTTTTTTGTTTTTCTTCTACTAATACCAAACGCTTAGTAATTGACTCAATCGGTTTTAAGATTTTATCAATTTTTTCATTTTGAATTGTTACATTTCTGTTAATAATCTCTAGACTTGAAATTTCTTGTACTTTGAATTTTTCTTCCAACATACTTTCAATGTCTTTTTTGCTTGCCATGTTTAATTTAATGATACTTTTTTAAGTATAAATAAAATATACTAAAAAGTTAAATATTTTTTTTCTATTAAATTTTTTTACGCAGCAAAAAACACATGAAGAGAACCTTGTACTGAAGGACCTTGAAGTTCATGAAGAACCTTGAAGTTCATGAAGATTGAAGTTTATGAATATTGAAGTTCATGAAGATTAAAGTTTATGAAGCTTGAAGTTCATGTAGATTGAAATTTATGAAGATGAAATTGAAGATGAACCTTGAAGTTCATGAAAAGAGCCTTGCATTTCTTACAAATCCTTTTTTTTAAAAAAACTAAATTTATCGAAACTTGATCTAAAACGTCCGCAAATGATTATTTTGTCGCTAAATTGCAAAAAATATATAATCTTTAGCATTATATTAGGGTTATAAAATAGTATTTGAAGTATATTTTGTTAAATAGAAAATAAAGGCCGAACATATTTCATTTGTTTTTAAACAAAATATGCTTGTTAAATTTATATAGATATTGAAATTCAATTTCATTTAAAAACTATTACTAAAACTAAAAATAGTCAACTTGATAGACTACATGACCTAGAGATTAACTATTAACATTATTATTTATAAAGAGAGCTTACTAGTTGATCTTTAATTCCAGTTTACAACAATATGTAATTTATGTCTGGATCGGAATATATATATATATATATATATATATATATATATATATATATATATATATATATATATATATATATATATATATATATATATATATATATATATATATATATATATATATATATATATATATATATATATATATATATATATATATATATATATATATATATATATATATATATATATATATATATATATATATATATATATATTCCGATACAGACATAAATTACTTTAACAAAATTAATTTGCCTGAACTAATATGCTTTTATTTTCAACCAAATGAAGTTAGTAACTTTATAGGAGTGGATAATAAAAGTGATTATTTTAATGTCATTCATGTAAATATTAGAAGTTTAAAAAAGAATTTAAAAAATTTTTTAAATTTAATTGACGAAACAAACAATTGTTTTAACGTAATTTGTGTAACCGAAACTTGGTGTTCTAAAATAGATTTTGAATCAAATTCTAATCTCCTTCTCCCAGGTTTTAAAGAAATTATGTTAGAGCGAAAGAATAGGCGAGGAGGAGGAATACATTTTTGTTTGAAATAAAATATTTTCTATAAAGCGATAAAAGCGATATGAGTGTTTCTGATACGGATCAAGAGATCTTAACAATTGAACTAAGAAACAAAAATTCTAAAAGCATTTTAATCAGCTGTTGCTATAGGCCACCAACTGGTAGAACAGAAAATCTTAGTAAACTTTTGAAATACAATCTAATAGAAAAAACTAGTCAAAAAAAAAAAAAAGTTATATATTGGGTGACTTCAATTTGGATTGTTTTGAATATAAAATAAAACAAAACATAAAAACATTTTATAACAGTTTATTTGAAATGGGAACCATACCAATAATAGATAGACCGACTAGAATTACAAACCATTCGTCAACTTTAATTGAAAATATATTAACCGCAGACTGTTTTAATAAATCTTTAAAAAAAGGAATTATAATAACTGATGTTTCAGATCATTTTCCCGTATTTTTTTCTATTAAATCAGAACATCAAACAAAAAACGAGGATAATATGACAATAAAAAAGCGAATTGTGAACAATTGTTACTTAAAATCATTCAAAGATCAAATTTCACAGCAGGACTGGAATCACATAAACTTTAATGATAACATAAACATTATCTATAACACATTTTTTAAAACTTTCCTTAAAAAATATGACGCTAATTTTCCAATATGTGAAATAAATTTCAAAGCCAAAGACATATTGTCTCCTTGGATAACTAAGGGACTAAAAAAGTCTTCAAAACTAAAACAAAAATTGTTTAATAAATACTTAAAAAACAAAATCTGAAAAACATCAACAAAAAACTACAAAAAAAATAATTGAAAAACTCCTCAAAAATGCTAAAAAAAATTATTATTCTAAATTGCTTACTCAGCACAAACATAACTTAAAAGGCGTCTGGAAATTAATGAAAGAAATTACAGGAAAGCAAAAAGTAACTTCAACTTCTCTTCCACTTGCAATAAAAGTTGGAAATAAAATAACTAATAGTTCTAATGAAATTGCGACTGAATTTAAAAAATTTTTTTCCACTATAGGAACAAATTTATCAAACAAAATCCATTTATTAAATTATAAATTAACAGATGAACGTCAAACGTCAAACTCCTTACATTTTACAAACCTAACTCTTGAGGAATTTGATACAGCTTTTAGATCGTTAAAAAGAAATAAATCAGTAGGACCTGACGGTATAAATGGAAATGTTGTAATAGACTCTTATGATGTCATGAAGGATATCCTTTACCAAATCTTTAAATCATCCATTAAACAAGGTTCTTTCCCAGACTCTCTAAAAATAGCAAAAGTAATTCCTATTTTTAAAACAGGAGACCCGACCAATATAACAATTTACAGACCTATTACTGTTCTTCCAGTTTTTTCAAAAATATTAGAAAGAATAATGTATAACAGAGTGTACACATACCTAAATACCAATATGCTTCTTTATAAAAATCAGTTCGGTTTTAAAAAAAACAACTCAACCGAACATGCTATTCTTCAATTAACACGTTATATTAAAGAATCTTTTAAAAATCAAAAATTTACACTTGGTGTTTTCATTGACCTGTCAAAAGCTTTTGACACGGTCGATCATAATATTTTGCTTAAAAAACTTGAATGTTATGGCATAGCAGGTAAAACTCTAAGTTGGTTCAAAAGTCTCTCCAATCGAAAGCAATTTGTTTTTAATAAAGATTCCCAACCTCAAAAATTAATGAACATAACATATAGTGTCCCACAAGGATCCATACTTGGACCACTTCCTT